AACTGCTCTCTAGGCGTCTTTTCCGGCGCTTCATCTCTCTCAACTCCTCGGTAAACCAGGGCGCCAGTTGAGATCTGCGCCGGGTCAGAGGCCGCAAAGGCACGACTCGGTCCAGCGCTGCGGCAGCGGTCACATCCCAGGCCGCCGCCAGATTTTCAGCCGAGTCGTGAACTAGATCCTCCGGATATGGCCCAAGCTCCGTCAGGAACCTCTCCGGGTCCATCAGGCGCCTGGGACGGAACCATCTTTGTGGTTTAATCACCAAACCTCAACTGTAATATAGCCACCTAGAATTCATGACATAAAAAGTTACTGTATTGGCTGGATTCATATATGGCAATAAAAGATTACACATTAAACATGCTGTCATGGTCTAATTCCCAGGCAGTGTTTGATAATGAACCATTATTTATACACTTGAATACTTGGTTTTCTAGATTATAGAAAAAACAAAGCAACCATGTTATGACTAGCAAGATGTCCAGTTTTCTCTGATAGCCTGGATTTAATATATTGTAGTAACGTGCGGAAATAAACCATCCGTTGTTTGTTCCTACCACTGAACCTATATAGGATATAATTAAACCACACCCCACAAAATACAGCAGCCTCTGTCATGGTATTTTTTTTTTACTTGAGATGTTGCCTTTCTGTTTAAAAGGAACACTCAAGACACCTTATAATTCAAAACAATATAATATACACAATAGAAAAGTAATCCATCTTGAAAAGCCAAGCTAAAGAAATACATCTCACTCTTTTTATCTTTAGAAAAAGGTAAGTCACAAGGGACAACGTTGTGTCACTCGGGAATTAAGGGAAGAGAAGATCCTCTTGACATACCTGACAGACAAGCCTCTGAGATCAGGGGCACCTTCCAAAGGACATCTGCACATCTTACTCAGATAGGTTTCTAAATGAAGAGGCATCTATGGGACAGTTGCAGCTGATGTATAGTAGTTATGTAAATAGACCACGCAGCACTATCTGATCCAGTGACAATCAGTCAAGAAGATTTGTTTGATACAATGCATGTGTTTCCCCATGCTTCTATCATTGTCTTACTCAAATCAAATGTGTGCCCATTATAGGTAGTCCTCAACTTACAACAGTTCATTTAGTGACTGTTCAAAGTTACAATGGTATTGAAGAAAGTGACATGACTATCACACTTGTGGCCATTGCAGCATCCCCATGGTCATGTGATCAAAATTCAGACAATTGGCAACTGACTTGTATTTATGACAGTTACTGTGTCCCAGAGTCATGTGATTACCTTTTGCAACCTGACAAAGTCAAAATGGAATCCAGATACACTTAACAACCATGTTATTAAGAACTGCAGTGATTCACTTAACAACTGTGGCAAGAAAGTTTGTAAACTGGGGCAAAATTCACTTTTAGCAACATAAATTTTTGGATTAATTGTGGTTGTAAGTCAAGGACTACCTGTACTAGTTTTCTATTTTTTATTCCCTGAACAGCCAGCCAGCCATCTAGCCAGCCAGCCAGCTCAATCTTCAATGACCTGTTCAGCAGCATTTAAAGCAAATGCTTCAAAAAGAGTTTTATACAACATGCAGATCTGTGTATAAAATACTTCTCTTCAATTTGTTAAGGCAGGCTATCCTCACTAGTGCAACTGTTTCAGTACTGCTTTTGGGTATCTTCATACATAAGAAATCATAGCTTTGTTGCAAAATTAGTTGAAGGGAAGGATTTGATGTGTCATATATATTGCAAAACATGTTTTTTGAAGCATTTACATGGCCCCAATATCTCTTGGATCTGTATTATTGCAAATTTTAAGATACAGTTCTAGAAATAGCTCTCTTGTAAAAGTGAGGCCACATGTATGTAAAATAGAAATGCACAACTATTTATGAAGCAATAAAATTGCTATAAATTATTCTAGTTGAATGGCTAATAATACAATAACTAAATTTGCATAAAACAAGTTTATAAAACTAAATATATATTGATATGAAAATCTACTATTATATACTAGATGTACCAAAAACAGGAAACAAAGGTATAAAAATATGTATTTTACACACAAACCTGTGTGTGAATAGTAAATATTAGATGTTCATATTATTAGATTTTACCTATGTATATTAAATTTTAAAATGTTCATAAATAGCTTCTTAATTTCATTTAAAGTTCTTATGAAATGAATTTTGCTTTCTTATTATTTCCTTTAGCTTTAAAGTATAACACTATTGCATTAGATAAATCATAAATGTGTACAAACCTAATGGATTCAGACTGGTAGGTTAAGGTGCTCAACATAGGCCAGGGGTAGGCAACCTTGGCTCTTTTATGACTCGTGGACTTCAACTCCCAGAATTCCTCAGCCAGCTGTGCTGGCTGAGGAATTCTGGGAGTTGAAGTCCACGAGTCATAAAAGAGCCAAGGTTGCCTACCCCTGACATAGGCCATTTGATAAAACTCAAAACATGCTATTTTTTTTAGAGGTTGGATTCTTGAATTTCTTGCCCTATACTACCATCTTGTGGTTATGGTGGTTTATTATTTCATGCTTTCTCTTTTTCCCATATAGTATATAAATTATAAGTGTGCTACATAATATTTAGAAGAAGAAAGTAAAATTGCCTATTTAAAGATAATTGTCTTTCTAATAGTAAAATGCAAATTCGGTGTTACTATTCATTGCTTCATTGACCTTTTTAGCAGCCTACAGAATTCTATATACATGTAAATATTTTTTTCGAATCTTTTTCTTTTTTATTAGTTTATAATACAAAATACAAAAATAAATAGTAGGAAAAATAGGGGAAGGAAAAGGGAATGGAAGAGTGTAGAAAAGAAGGAAAAAAGAAAGAAAACACGTTGACTTTCAACTCCCTTTGGTGCAGTAACATAAGATAGTAACATCAAAACTCATTTTTTTTTATTTTACATAATACTATAAACTAGCCATGAGAGGTCCTTGGTGCTCTCTGAACTTG